GGTCATCAACTACGCGGGGCCGCAGAACCTGGCGACCTACGTCGGCGGCTTCTTCTTCACCTTCTCCCTCACGTTCATCACCATCTACCCCGTGCTCATCCAGCCGCTCTTCAACAAGTACGAGCCCCTGGAGCCCGGCCCGCTCCGGAGCGCCATCGAGGCGCTCGCGTCGTCCATCGACTACCCGCTCTACAAGCTCTACATGGTCGACGGCTCGAAGCGGAGCGGCCACAGCAACGCCTACATGTACGGCTTCTTCAAGAGCAAGCGCATCGTCCTCTTCGACACGCTCCTCAAGCAGATGACGAACGAGGAGATCGTCGGCGTGCTGGCCCACGAGCTCGGCCACTGGGCCCACGGCCACGTCTTGTTCTCCTTCTGCTTCTCCCAGGCCTACATCTTCGTCGCCTTCTCCTTCTTCGCGCGCGCGATGGGCTCGGCCGACATCTACACCGCGTTCGGCTTCGCGGCGACGGCCGGCGCGTCGGACACGGCGGGCGCGCCCGTCATGGTCGGCGTGCTCCTCTTCTTCATGGTGCTCTGGGAGCCCGTGGACCACGCGCTGAGCTTCTTCATGACGTGGAACTCGCGGCGGATGGAGTTCCAGGCCGACCAGTACGGCACGAACCTGGGCTACGCGGCGCCGCTCCAGCGCGGGCTGGTGAAGATCACCTTCGAGAACCTGGGCGTGTTGGACCCGGACCCGCTCTTCTCGACGTACCACCACAGCCACCCGCCGCTCGTGCAGCGGCTCCGGGCCATCGAGGAGGGCGCGAAGAAGTTGAAGTAGGCGCGGCGCCGGCGTCGATTGCTTTCTTTTTTTGGTGTCCTGGGGAAGAAACTTCACACAATTGTTCATTTACTGCCGAGTGCTCGCTGACGACCAACGTTAAGGGATTTATCCGAAGGACGCGCGCCCTTTCGGCCCTCGAACGATCGCGCGCGGTTCGTTCGCGATCGTTCTGCTTTCTTCGCAGGTGCGCGTCGCGCGGACTGTTGGCGTAATTCGGGTCTGCCGTTGTGCGTGTTCGCTGGGGATTGGCGCGTAGATGTCGCGCAGGCGTAACGGGCGCAAGGCTATCCAGGCCGACGTTTCACTTGGTTGCCGTCGCTTCAACCGCGATAGAGGCTGCTTCGGCCGTCTTCTGTGCCTGCAAACACCCATGGCGCGCCACCTCCTCCTCCTGCTGGCCGCCTCCGCGGTGGCCCTGCTCGCGCCGGCGCCCCCGGTCGCCCGCGGCCCGTCGCCGCTGTCCATGGGGAAGACGGTGGGCGCGTCGAGCCGCGCCTTCACGAAGACGGGCCCGCGCAAGCCCCAGTCGCCGCGGCCGGAGCAGTACCCCGACGAGTCGAAGCTCGCCAAGGTGCTGACGACGCAGCGCAACGAGAAGTACGACCCCGAGTACGCGGACGACATCACGACGGCGAAGCGGCGCCTCTTCGAGCTCCGCATGCGCAAGTCGCAGCGCCTGCCCTTCAAATCCTCCGAGTTCCGCGAGCTCCGCAAGTTCGTCGCGCGCCTCAAGACGCAGCAGCGCCAGGACGAGCTCCGCGCCCAGGGCGTCGACCTGAAAAAGAAGCAGCCGCGGACGCGGCGCGAGAGGCAACGAGCGCGCGAGAAGCGCGAGCGCCAGGACACGGCCCGCGCGGAGAACCGCGCGCGCCTCATGGCGCGGAGCGAGGAGCAGGAGGCGGCCAAGAAGGCCGCGGCGCAGCTCGAGCTCTGAGGAGGCGGCGGCGCCGAGGTCTCGAGTGTAACGGTGTGTTTCCCACGGTACGCTTCGCCTCTCTCTGGTCTAGCAGCGCGTTCGTTGGATAGGCATGTGGCGTCTTTGGACCCTGTCCGTCTCGGGGGTGTGCTTAGGCCTGGGCTAACTTCCCAAAACTGCACGAAAAAGTGCAACTACTCGCCAAGAAATCTGCGGTGAAAACTAGCTCGACGGCATGCCTCTCCGGCGGATCGCAATCAACCATTGCATGCGCAATACACGTCGCGCCGTCGCGCTCGCAACGTTCGCCCAGTGCGCCCGCGCCATGTCGTCGTCGGCGCTGAGCGGCCGCGGCATGAAGGCCGCGGGCTACGTGGGCACGGCGTCCAAGTCTATGAGCCTGCGCGACGAGGGCAGAGACCTGATCACGCTGGCCGTGGCCCAGAACGCGCTCATGGACGACCTGCTCCTCCCAAAGGTCGCGCAGGCGGCCGTGCGCGCGAGCGCGCGCGTGCGCTACGCGCCTTCCTGGCTCGGCCTGCCGGAGCTGCGCGCGGGCGTCGCGCGGCTCTACAGCTCGCACGTGCTCCGCGACAACTTGGTCACGGCCGACGAGGTCGCGATCACGTCGTCGGCGACGTCGGCCATCGACGCGCTGCTGTTTGCGGTCTTGGAGAAGGGCGACGCCGTGCTCACGGTGGCGCCCTTCTACGGGAGCTATACGAGGGACGTCGAGGCGCGTGAGGGCGAGCTCGTGCCCGTGCCCGGCGCGACGGACGGCGTCCCCACCGTGGAATCGCTGGAGGAGCACTTCCAGTGGCGCGAGCCGCGACCGAAGGCCCTGCTCGTGGCGTCGCCGCACAACCCCTGCGGCTCCGTGCTGGGCGCGCAGACGCTGAAGGACATGGTCAGCTGGACGCGGCTCCGGAACGTCCAGCTGATCGTCGACGAGGTCTTCGCGCTGTCGACCTTCGAGCCCGGCGCGTTCACGTCCGTGCTGGACGTCTTGGATGCGGCGGAGGACAACTCGCACGTCCACGTCGTCTACTCGGCTTCGAAGGACTTGGCGCTCAGCGGCTACCGCGTCGGCGCGCTGATCACGAAGAACCCGGCGGTGCTCGACAGCTTCAAGTGCCTCTCCATCTTCTGCAACGCGGCGACGCTGCCCCAGGCCGTCGTCGCCGAGCTGCTGGACGACGACGCGTGGCTCCGCGACGCGTGGATCCCCGAGCTCCGGTCCCGGCTCAAGGCGTCCTGGCGCCACGCGAAGAAGCACTGCGACGCCCACGCCCTCCGGCGCCTCGGCTCCGACCCCGAGGCGGGCCACTTCTGCCTGCTGGACCTCCGCGGCGTCGCCGAGGGGCCCGCGCTGAACGCGGCGCTGGAAAAGGCGGGCGTCGTCCTCACGCCGGGGCCGCTCATGGGCGCGCCCCACGGCATCTTCCGCCTCTGCCACGCCGCCGAGCCCGACGCCCGCGTCGCCGAGGCCGTCGCCCGCATCGCGGGCGTCGTCAACGCCGCGCCGCCCCTCCCGGAGCCCCCGGCGGGCAACACGCCCACGTGCAAGGCGCCGGCGCCGGGCTGCGCCCAGTCTTGAGGGAGGAGGGTTCTTACTTAGAAGCCGCCGCGGGGCATCCAGAAGGAGGCGACGAAGGGCAGGACGTCGTGCGGCAGCGCGGCGCCGAGGATCTTGCGGAGGATGGAGACGGGGACGGCTCGCTGCGCCGCGGCGAAGGACGCGAAGCCGCCGGCCTTGTCGATCTTGTCCACCAACGCGAAGCAGTCCTCGTTCTTAGGGACACGCACCGCGTTGGCCCGGCGAATCGTCGCTCCGGCGCGGAGAAGTTCGAGAAGCGAGGCGCGGAGTCCGCCATTGAGGGCAGACGTGAATGCGGTCCAGTCATAGGGTGAGACCGACGCATCGACCTCCGCGCCCGCGGCGATGAGCGCCGCGACTGTCGCACGTCGCTTTTCCTCAGGGGTACGGTTTGGGCACAACGCGAGCATTAGCGGCGTTAGATTTTTAACACCATGCTGCGAGTTATCGCCTCGATCCGGCATGCGTAAATTCACATCACCACCGCCAGCGACAAGAATGGGGACAGCTTCATGGCGACCAAGGTAGACGGCAACGTGTAGCGACGAACAGATAAGATCCTTCAGAACACGTGCACAATCTGTCTGGGCTCTAACCCTCTTGAAAGCATTCACGTCAGCGCCAGCGGCGAGCGCCGCGCGCAGCCGTGCGATGTTGCCCAATGCAATCGCTCGGACGAGCTCAAGGTTTGACATCGCAACTCCGCGCGCAGCCGGAGGCGCGCGAGAACTCGGACCCGCACCGCGCCCGAAGGTCAACATGCGAAGATGCCGTACAACACTGCCTCGCGGCCGCTGTGGCAGCGAATCGAGGCGCGAAACGAGCGCTGCGCCGTCGTCCCGCGCGCGCGCCGACACGCAGCCATGGCCATGTTCGGGCAGCGGCGGAAGATCTCGCAGGAGACCTTCGACGAGTGCGTCCAGGAGAACATGGACGAGTTCGACATGGAGCGCGACGAGGCCCTCAAGGACGCGCGGGACCAGTTCGAGCGCCAGGGCGTGGACCTGAGCGGCGTGGACCTGAGCGGGTCGAGCGAGCGCAAGGAGGAGCGCGACACGCTGCGCGCGCACGTCGCGCTCCTCGCGAAGAACGCCGCCGAGGGCGGCGCGACGCGCGGCGAGCTCGAGGACGCGCTCGCGTTCGTCGTCGCCGCGTGCGGCAAGGCCGGCGCGGCCGACGG